TTCAAATTCTTGATGTAAGACGGCTTGGGGGCGTGCATCGGGTTCTCCTCCACGTTCTTCACATTAGATCAGAGTGAATGACCCTAAAAACTGTTGTCTGACTCACCCCCAACATTTCTTCATGCTTACCTGTAATGACGGATTTTTATTGCTGAAGAAATGTACATTCTTCTGCAAAGCGTCCTCAGACCTGACTTTGGTTGCCAATTAGTGGGGATAGAACTCCACCCGATACTACCACCGTCTTTATCTCCATGTCATTTACTGCACTGAGAATGTAGGTTTTACTGACGTGGAATCCATTTGTCGCCAGCTTCTTAACCACTTTTTATACAATAATTTATCTTTGGAAAACGCATTTATGAGTACTTGGGCTCCAGTGGGGTCGTGTGGGGGCATCTTGGTGCACAAGACAAAGGGGCATTTTGCAAACTGTTCCTGGACTATCTGGCTACGACGCGTGAAAATTTCGATAATCTCGGGTATTTCGAACGGTTGTTATCTCAAAAATCAAAGTGAGTTCAGAAGGCTGAATCACTCTCTGTAAAATAAGAAAGCTTACAGCGTTCGAAAAATTTTCATTTCGCTGAAAATTGTATTTAAAAACTCCTCCACTGGCGAATATATTTACGTGCATTAAAGAAAATTTAAAAAATTGTGCTGCCTCTTTCTTAGCGTGAATATTTAATTTAAAATTAGTCAGGTCCAAATTCGAGATAACTACCTCAGACCTTCTCCTTGTGAGAAGAACGCAATTTTCAAAACTTTTTATTTTGATTGCTCAAGTCTGAAAATATCCTAATCATCAATCCTTATTAATGAACCAAAATAAATATTTGTATGATAAGAAAGTACAAAGGCCAAATATGTATACTTGCATTTATTGTAATGTGTGAAACGAATCGTGAGAAGGTCTAGCAAATAGATAAGTTTCAGGCAACTAAAACTTGGAGTGATTAAGCCAAGTCTGTCCGTATCTGGTAGAACGTTTCTTGAAGGAACTTTTTACTTTATGAACAAGTTACCAAATTGTTAATTTCGATAAATTTCTGGAGTAGTCCAAGGCAAAAAATAGAATTATAAAAATAACTGACAATTACAAAAATGAAGACTTCATTGAAAATTCAGTACCTAACGTAATCCGCTGATCCTTTAATTTAATTTCCCTTGCGCACCACGCTGATTTTATAACTATATTTGTATGTACATTTGGCAAAAATCAAACCTATTCGAGAAGAAGGAATTCAAACACTGCATCTGGCAATTTTTTTAACGAAAAAATCAAACAAACCAAATTTTTGCGATACAGTTTTCCACAAAATCGCAGAGAAATTTGATTTTTTTAAACTCTAATGTCAAATTATAGCTAAATATCAATGGGTATTAATGAAGTCGTTTTCCCCTATTTTGGCTAATTTTTAATTGTTCAGAAATCAGAACATGGGAGCCATTGAAACTCATGCAAAAATAATAACAAATGAAAAAGAACTTTTAACCTACCAGCCAACTAGCTTACAATTGGAAGTAGAATTATCAGACCTCCATCATCCTGGAAATGTATTTTTTATAATATGTCTATTACCACATATCACACTTATTATTTCTTTTGTATATTTAAATCTTTATATTTTCGCTACCTAAATTATTTAGTTGATAATTTTTTTGTGTATCCCAAAGCTTACGCTTTAAATCTAGCAAATTGTTTGCCGATGTGCAGAAGACGTTATTGTTCGTATAATCGATACAAATATGGATACATAGTTTATAAAAAAATAAATATGCATTAGCGAAAGAAACCTAAGTTAAATTACATTGAAGAAATTCTGACAAAGCAAGCATTTAAAATACATTGATACTGCTAAAAATTGCATCACAGGGGCGCCGTCGATATCCAGCCCCTGTTACCAATTTCAAAGGTCGGGCGCTGTCTACCTATCCCTGGTTGAAATTATTGGCCATTTTATGCAGGAAATGTTAAGCCGAATCCTGCAGAAAAAATGTGCCTAAAATTGGCCCAATTTTGTGCAGAACTGTTTATGCATATCTATTTTATGCAGAATATATTATGCATAATTTATGTTGAAAGGTTTATGCACAATTTATTGGGACGGGTTTATGCAGACAATTAGTGCATTTTAAATCATGCCATAGTTCATGCATAAATTATTCAATTAAACAATTCATCAAGTACAATTAAAATTCATATTTATTATTTTTACTTGTAATAAATATAAGTATATAATTGTTTTAAATAACATTAATACCAGTTCCACGGCGTGACTTGCGATACTTCTCGGATAGTGACTTCTTGATTTCACGCTTAAGTACGTGTCTTCTTGCTTCACAATTTAGCCTCGGCTCTGGTGCAGTTATCTGGAGGATTTTCTACTCCTACCTTTTTAACACGCCATCTACAAGTTCGAAAAATATAGATTTTGTTAATTAGTGGCCTACAGAAAATATTAAATGTGGGACTTATCTTCGTAATCACTATCTGCGGCGCAGACTGCGGGTTATTCTGCTGCCTTCCAATGAGGTTTTTTCTCTTGGATCTTAATGTTCCGTCAACCCACGCACCAGTAGGTTTATTAACCCACTCGACTAAGAAATAACTGATCCTTTTTTTAATTTGCTATGAAAATATCGAAAAGTTTGGATAAAAGAGGGATTTAAAAGTAAAATGCGAAATCATTCAATGAAATGAATGAACCCATGCCGTCTCAATTCGAGTTACGCGCTATGAGACACTATGAGACACGTGTATAATTATGGGTACATATTTCTGCATAATAAACTCGACATAAGTTCTATGCATAATTATGCTTATAATTTTCTGCATAAGCTGGTCGGCATGATTGCTTTGTCAAATTGTGCATAAACATGCACCAAATTTTGTGCATAATGATTTATGCATAGGAGTTGTGGTTACTCCTGCAGAATTCGGCACAGACATTTCAACCAGGGATCCCCATAATCAAAAATACCCATCAAGGTCAAATGAGATGAGGACGGTCACGACCTATGTGTCAACAAATTAGGAGGATAATATAGCTCCGGCAGTCAAGTTAATAAAGCTCCAGCGCTGACTTATCGGGGGGGGGGGGGGGTGGGGTGGGGGGTGTCAGTGAAAATCTGGACAGACTGGCGAAGCTTTTTTTTTTTAGGGTCCCCCGTTTTCCGGGACAGGCTGTACTCCGGTTCCCGGGACAGACTCCGAAATCGAACCCACGATTGGAACTAAGGTAGCCACCAGTGGAACCCAAAGTACAGTTTGGACACATAGATTGAGAGAGAGCCCGATAGGATGTATTCTGCGTGAGGGTCCCCCTAAAACGGAAGTTCATTGTTAGAGATCAGTTGACTTGCAGTTTTCCTACATACAATGAGAGGAAATGATACTCCGCTAATATAATTCCTTACTTTGATCACTAAGATATATAGATAAATAATTTATATTTACTGAAGCTGGGCTCGGATCTGCTTCCTCTAAAAAGTCTTGTTTTGATGGGTTTTTAGCGTGCACGCACTCTTGCCTACTTTTGCACGGAGTCATGTGAAATTTTTAACTTTGTGTTAGAGATGCGAAATTTGGCATGCACATGCACAAACATATGACGCACCATAATATAACACCAATTCCCGTTCCGTTCGCTATAAATTTTTCAGGAAAAATCAAAAACCAAACGGATTAGGGGTGACATTTGGTTTTTGATTTTTCCTGAAAAATTTATAGCGAACGGAACGGGAATTGGTGTTATATTATGGTGCGTCATATGTTTGTGCATGTGCATGCCAAATTTCGCATCTCTAACACAAAGTTAAAAATTTCACATGACTCCGTGCAAAAGTAGGCAAGAGTGCGTGCACGCTCAAAATCCTTCAAAACAGGACTTTTTAGAGGAAGCAGATCCGAGCCCAGCTTCAGTACCACCTTCCGTTCGACACATTTCCTTCAAGGTGTTCATATTTCGATAAATAAAACAGAGTTCTTTCCCATGAAACAAATACATTTGTGACACAAAAATTGCGGTGCTCAGTACGCAGAAAACCATGACGAGCAGTACTGCGGCAGTGAGGGTAAATTCTGCATCCTTGCGATAACTGAGGACTTCCTTCGCCAAGATGTAGAGTAGGATGAGGTCAGCCACAACTAATAGTGCGGACAAGGTAATGAATACCTTTAGCTTTCTCAACGGGGTGACATTTGGCAACCATGTTTTCTTATCCCAAGTAATACGCTGTGCGTAAAAGGATTCACTAAGGACTGCGAAACGTTGGAGGGCCTGAAAAGGCGTGTGGCCCGGCATAGAAAAAGTTTTTAATCGTTCTGACAACATGGTATCCACAGCATCACGTACGAAATAGTACGAATTAATGCATCTGCAAAAGAAATTCATTACGGAGAATACCGTACAGTTTATGAGCTTTTTATATGCCAAAAAACTGTGATCAAATTTCCTAGGGTCTAGATGTTAATGCTAAACTTTATCGAGAGTTACAGCTTGACCCAGTGAACGATAGACTTATGCAATATCCAGACTAGTTATACTCGGCAAGTGTAGAGGCTCAAATTGAGCCGCTCAATTGATACCGCACCAAGTGAAATAATTTCCGTTTGAAGGATGTATAAACGGTTTAATAATAAATGACTCCAACAAAACTCTGTTACTGATTATTTGTGTAACTCAAGAAAACCAATAAATTTTATCTTGAGGAATTTTTCTCGAACCATGAAAAACATTTTGCAGCTTCCTTACTTATTTCTATATCGCTTTTGAACTTGAATAATATGACTACTCAAAGTATAAGGCATTGCAGTATGTCTGAAATTAGCTTTAAAGTAAATTTTCCTATTTTCTAGAGATAAAAAATTCATAATATCTTTCAATTGCAAAACCATACCTGTATTAAATTGAATTAAGGAAGTCCGGTTGTATAACTTTGTAATAAATTTTCCTTCGTATATTTGACGATAACGAATTTGCAATTATTTTTCTCTATCCTATTATTTTATAAATTTATTTTTCTTTCCTCAAGCTCAAAGTCTGGACACGTCTTATAAATTATTCCGTACAATCTCTTTCCGAAAAACAATGGTAACATTTTATCTATGGGTAGTTAGAATATGATTATTTTTCAGTTCGCCACAATTTAAGGCATAAAATATTACCTAATATTATAAATTATTATATAATATTATATAAGGTATTAAGTTAAAAACTGGTTTTCCATATTACAGCAAAGTTAGTTTTCTAATTTTAATAACACGACAAAGGTATACCGATTACCTCTCTTAATCAGAAAATTGAGGTCAATTTTTAAACGAATTGTTTGATTTTTTTCTTCTGTATGTTGAGCATTGAATTCAAATACATTTCATTTCATAAAATACCAGATTCTTCCCTCATAATATCAATATCAATATCGTAATATCATTTTTCTAATTCTTTCCGCTCACAGAATCTTCTGGAGTAATATATTAAATTAGGAAGTCGGCTTTGAGTATTTTAGGCACAAGATATAATATTGAATATATATTAAGGTTCATTTATGATAAATTAGTAAATAACTTAAATTTCTACTGGTGAATGTTCAGAATGAATACATGACATTTAGTTAGCGATTACGGAGAGCTTAACAATTTAGGTCCTCGGTATATATATATATTACTGGGAAATAGTAAACAAGTAAGCACATATATACATATATATGTGTCCATACTACCTGTGCAAACTATACATTATGTACCTACATATGTACCTAGTCGTATACACTCAAGTGTCAATAGCTGATTGCTAAAAACCTACGCCGCAAAATTAAAATCTGATAAGTGCATTAGATTCGTCATGCTGTTTACATTATGATTCACTATGGACTTTGTAATTTTTGAACATCTGGATAAATATATAGGAAATTGAAGGGAAGCGGGCGGCGATAGTTTTTCACAAAAAAAATCTAAGAAAAATAGTGAATTTGACATGTGTTGAAAAAGTCAAAGGTGTGCTTTAATTTAGCCCAACGGAGTATAAAAACGTTCATGGGGACCGAATCGACTAAGAACAGTCGAAGAAGAATTTTTTGAAAACCTCCAAAGACCACACCCATCGTGAAGCCTCTCAAGCCTGGAATCCGAAGAAATTCACGAAATTCCAACGGAAACCGGGCTCACTGCTGACAGTGTCAATGAAAATTATCCAATGAGTGCTCAAATTGTAGGTTAGGCTTAAGGCTTTGAAATGTGGTACTTGCCACATCTTGATCGTACCTCAAAGGAAAACCAGATTAAATAAATGCAGGCGTCACCTCAAGCGTTACGCTCCAAAAAAGTGAGCAGGATTCTTTTTACAAATGAGGAGATTTTCACATCGGAAAAATATTTTAACAAGTGAATTGTCCTAATCTGCGCAAAATCGGTCAGAGACATCCCCCAATATAGACAAAGGGTCAGAAAGTCACATTATCTAGGTTTTTTAATGATTTTGGCAGGTGGGAGCTAATTGGGCTAATTTCTCTACATTTTGCTGAAAATTGGGGGGAGGTGGGGGAATTAAATTTCTTAAAATACGTTTTTGAGTCCGTGGTACATCCCCTAAGTGAGATCCAATTCAATGGAATCGATAGGACCTCGCAGCAGGGCTCAACACGAATTTATAGTGCAAAAAATGACCCAAGCGTAGCTAAAAAAACAAATTCCGGTCTTTATCTACAATCAGAAATGGTCATCATCCTTGCTGGATTTGAATCACCGGAATATGAAAAATGGTCAAAGTTAGGAGCAAAGGTGTGTTCTAAACCCCGTAGAAGTACGGAGGCTTGGAAAAAATTTCTGACCCCCGAATGCCACAAAATGCCCCTGGAATCTGTGCGTAATTCCATCGAGGAGTGGTCATGTTTTCTTTAGCGTAGCATTGACGCAGGAGGAGGAAATTTTTAAGACTAAAAATTGTTTTTGAATTGAAATTTATCTGGCTTTTCGGTAAAATTAGTCAAAAATTGCTAAGTTGAGAACTACAAAGGTAATAAAGCTGTATGTCATTGACACTTGAGTGTAAACGACTAGGTATGTATGTATGTGTAAAATACACCGTATAAAGTAATACTTGATATACAATTTGTGTCGTAATAAATTCAAACTTGCATTAAGGGTATTCATGATTGCTTCGTATTCTTCGTATTCCTCGTAAGTTACGAAGTTAAGACTTGTAAAATTTTGCAATTAAAACTCGAATTAATAAGCATACGACTTTTACGGTGTTTAACCGCAGCTTTTTTCTTTAACTAATTTTGATGAATTTGAATGACACCCTTATGAATTAACACCCTTATTGTAAATCGTTCGTATCAGTTGACCCTAAATTCTGCAAAAACGATGCAAACATCGTATGTTAACTATTATCCTGAATGTTAGATACTACTATCCTGCGACGATGTAGAATGTATGTGTACATATGTTTATTAATTCACTACAAAGCATTATTATGCAACGTAAGGAGATATAATATATATAAACGTATGCTTATAAGTATTTCTATTTCGCTATATAATAATAATCTAACGGCTTTTCCCAATTACAAAAAAAAATATAAATCTTCATCCACCGAATGTGTATAATAATGATCGAATAGGGTTAATGTGTTAACGCTGACATACTAAACTGTCAGGACTTTGTTATTAGCACAATATTTTATATTCATATGTCTTTCACAAGAATTTTGATCCAGCGTACTTAATATATTATATAAATTCATCTTTTCGCAAGTTTCCACTCACTTTTTGCCGCGTTCAATGTGTCCAGAAACTGTTTAGCACTCTGGGTCACGTGATGATCGATCCCAAGACTGGCCTTGTATGTTAGATATGCGTCCCTAAATAGAACTCGAGCTTTCTTTCTTTCCCCTAGACCAACGTAACAAACAGCCAGGTCTCTCTTGGTGTTTAAAATATCCTCTATGGCGGCCATATCTTGCCCATAAGCTTCCAACTTTTGGGCTATAACTTCCTCCAACTTATCCTTAGCTTGGGCGTGTTTATCTTGAAGCAGCAACAATTTTGCGAGGTCCCCTTTCGTATTCAATGTTACAAAATGATTCTCTCCAAGGTTGATTTCACGCCAGTGCAAAACTTCATTGTAAACTTGTTCAGCTTCCAGGAAACGATCCAATTCAACTAAAAGGGATGCGATATAGCTTTTTGTAGCCATGATTGCACGATCATCCCGCAATTCTGAGGAAGATTCCTCCAGAAGGGCAAGATTCGCTTTAAAGGCTTCCAGGGCTTGGGAAGTTTTTCCACATCGTCCAAGATGGCAAGCAAACTGGGTGTTAATTTGTAGCAGGAAATCATCTCTCGAATCGTTAAAAATTTTGTCACATTTAATCTTTAATTTTGAATATGTTTCAAATTCCAAATCCAATTCTCCAGCGTGATCATGTAATTTTATGATCTGATACTCCAACTCCAAAGTTCGTTTATCATATTCTCCAAGTTCTTGGGTAGTATTTTTGATAATTCATGCAAGCTCGTATTATTGGTCCGTTGACAGAGTGAAACGACAAAATCAGCAAATTCTTCCACCACCTGTTTACTCTTGTTTGGGGTCATTAACCAAAAGAATTGGGAGTCCATAATAGCGGTTCGGGTTGAATTCGCAAGCCCTTGAAGGATTTTCATCCCATTAGAAGTTTCAACCTGAGAAAAATCTGGAAGAATCCTATCAATACGAAGAACACTCTGGAATATACTTTTCGCGGCTTCAACAAAATCTTCAGGTAAGACGACCAGGTCAAGATGGCGCAATAGTTGTAAAGCGGCGTCCAAATCATCTTGCTTCAAATTTGGGATAATTCCGTGACATAATTTTTGCACGGTGTTCAAACTGGTTCCAGTATTATCCACGCATTTTAAAATCTGTAAAATGGTGATGGCAGTTGTGGTGATGCCACTTGGATGGAGGCGGGAATTTTGAATAAGATAATGTATCGCTAACGCCATACTTGCAGCGTGCAAATATTCAAAATCACTCCATTCAAATGATTCTTCATGCTGTTTAATTTGAGCCAAAGTACGAATAAAATCATCAGCAATCTTTCCAATCCATTCAGATTTCTCATCTTCTTGCAGATTTTCTTGTAGAAATTTTAAAATTTTTGAAATTTTTGAGATTGCTGCAGGGTGATTTTCAGTTACGCGACAAATGGCGCTGAAATCCAGATATTCTTGACGACCAACGCATGCCAAGGAAAGACAACGTTTTGACTCTTCTTCCAAAAATGGGCCGATATTCACAATCGTATCTTCAGCCGCCTTGGCGAAATATTCACTATCGATTATGTAAATCGCGGGAACCTTGTTGGTATGCGTTATTCTCAAAATCCAATCTTCATCTGCTACAGAGTCAATGATAAATATAGTTTCAAAAATTGGATCGTAAGTTTCCATCATTTTTCTACAGATGTCGTTAAAAATATGTGCGGATTCCCGCACCACTGGAACGGGACTCGTAACTCTGGTGGCAACATCCAGTTCTAGGGCAAGTTCTTCAATTTCAGCGGTTAAACTTGAACTCGCCGTTGTCCTTGTGTTAATCCAGACCAAGTTTATGTTTGGTTGATTTTTGAGGTATTCCTTCACAAAGTGGGAAACTAATGCAGTTTTGCCCATACCGGGAAATTCGCTGGTTACTACGACTTTAAATGAGTAGCTAAAAATGGAAGAAATCTTTTCTAGCGCTTTTTCTCTGCCAGTAAAATTATTTGGACTCTGCGGCTCTTGAATTTTGGAAAAATGTACCGGCTGCTGAGTTAAGGTGCAAATTTCTGTAGCACTCGGCCTAGTCCCGGCGCTTCTCTCCAACATTCTTTTCACAACTTGTATTTGATTATGCAATAAAGATCCACAGAATATGAAATATTCTGCAGGAATATCTTGTGATCGAATAGTTCCAGTTTGTAAATTTGTAAAAAGGCGAATTTTTACGGCACGGTTTAAAAGTTGGGGGCAGATTAGTTCCAAGAATATGAGACCAAGGGAGAAAATGTCAGTTTTTTCCGTATATCCTTCCTGTACGCCCTCCAACATTTCTGGACTTCGATATGTTAATGTTCCTTTGATTGAGGGGTTTTCACGCAAATTTAAATCTTGCATGGATTCCCCAAGCAAATCGTCCACAAATATTGATTCGTCTTCGCCATAGCCTTGATTAACCACGGAAAGACCAAAATCAGCAATTTTGTAGTGAGTTTTTCCAGTGTAAGCGGATTTTGCACAGATGACGTTTGCTGGTTTTAAATCCCTGTGAATTATGTTCTGAGCATGGATTGCTTCCAAACCGCGGGATAGATGATCAAGAATTCTTGGCAAATCCTTGCTTCGTTTTTCGAATGTTTCATTCTCAAGTAGGAATTCCGTCAAGGGTTTGTAATTACAGAATTCCATGTGAATAAACAGGTTTAGGGTATCGTGACTATTGTCGTCATCAAGGTCATCCCAGCCAGAGCTGGAAGCTAATTAATATTAAATAATTAACTGTTTATATACATATTTAACTTTTTTGCACCATTTATAATTAAAGAATTAATTTACCTGTGGATGAGCTTGCGGTTGAAGAGTCAAATTCAGTGCGTTGCGTCTGAAGAGAGGATGGCGGATCGAGCACCTTTTTACCGCCAGATTCAAACCAAAATGTATAATACCGGAGGACAAAGGTGCTTTGAACTTTTCCATGATTTTCAACTTCTCGCTTGATTTTTTCAAATGTTGAAAAATGCTTCAGCGCCTTAGCAACATTGATTTGTTTCACGGCATAAACGTTTTCATCTTCAACATGCTGAGCTTTCCAAACAGAGCCAAATGAACCCGCTCCCAAGGGTTCCGTCCCCAGTACTTGAAGGCTATTATTCGTTTTCCAAGGGTTTGTCATTTTTACCTAGTCTTGCACGATTGCACCTAAACAAAATGAAATTTAGCAATGTTAATATATATATATTTACACGGAATACCAAAGGGTATGCCAAAGTATCAAGTGTATTTAGAAGACGTCCTATTAAATGAGACGTAATCTATACTGTGTTGTGTGAGATTAGGAATTTTTATAGGATTTTGAGATAAAATAATTAACTTTACAGAGTCGAATATGTTTGTGGTTAATTTAACTTTGCCACAATTTGGCAACAAATGAATACTACTGCAAGATTGTCAATGTAAATAATAGTTGAGGTTGTATAGTAAAATAGAAGATTATTTAAAATAAGTTTAAAAAATTTAAGTTCACAAAATTTGGAAACAACCAACGAAGGATTTACGTAATTGCGGATTTGAGATTTTTTAAACGAGTTGCATACTTACCAACTAAACCCTATTTAGCAGGACAAAGCTTGCGTAAATACTTTCGCTCGTCAGGTACATTCACGTGTTATAGTTCCTGCAAAATTCATACATATTTGTGCCATACATTATTAAAGACTGACTTAATTATTATGAATCATTTCATTATTATGAATCGTTGCATTATTATGAATATTATGTCATTAAACTCTAAGTAAAGCTTACGTATTTATGTATCACTTCTTTCTTTCCAATTTCTAAAGTATTTATCTAAATCATGTTAGAAAAATAACTTACTAAATGCTCAACAGTAGACGTTTCCTGAAATCGGACAGACTGGAACCTAAAACACTTAATTTACAGTTAACTATTCGGTAAAAAAACAGCTGCCGACTTTTATTTAATTACTGGCAGAGACATGGAACTGGTCAAAGCCGAGTCAGCCTGTGGATTAGTTTGGATTTTGTCTACCCTATCCATTCTGTACATATGTAACTTAACGATTAGCTCATGAATTAAGCTGTCATGGGTTTTGCTGGTGGACCAGATCTAAATTTACACAAGAGTATGCATGTATGTAGTTAAATATGGATGTATCTATTTGCATGATATGCATATTCATATGCCACTTGATGGATCATTTGCTTGTGAAAAAAACTCATTTCTGAGTTCCATCTATTTCACCCATGTGCTGGTAGTTATTGATTCGTTGAATACGTCAGTTTAAGTAACTAATTTAAGTTTGTCATGAATCATGACTCATGATGCATAAAGATGATTGTTACGTATGTAGGTTAGCTTTGCATAGCTTGTCAAATTTAAAGTTATTACATAATTATTTCATCGTCGACTTTTCCTTTTTGAATTTAGTGGTAACTAATCCTAAGTATGTCATACATACAGATTGCATACCGTTTTCCACTAAAACAAAGTGGCGATGGCAAATAAATTACATAAATAATCCCAAAATTCACCATTTCGTTTTCGTAATTTAAATAATTTTACAGTAACCGAATTACATAAATACATAATTTGACATTTTTCTGGCTAAAGGATATATTTACTTGAACATGGAGTTGTGGCGTTCCGCACGTCTGCAGTAATGCATATTAGACAAATTGCACAGTTAATAAATAAGTCGTTACCTTATAGTGAAAAACATAAATAAGTTAATATCTGTTTTATAAGAGTGCACACATACATATTTACATAAAGACCGACATAATTATGCTAACAAGACATATAAATAATTAATGAAGTGCATACAAACATTTGTACTAAATATGTTAAACTTAGTTTTTCGAATACCACATAATTCTAGAAATGCAAATTAGCATTACAATTAGTTCGCCAAAATTTTAGAAATCCTTAATAACTGACAATACTTCAAATACCATACGTTTAAATAGGAATTACATCATTCTAAGTTTTTGTTCAATTCATTTGTAGTCGAAAATGAGTATCTTTCTCCTTGGATATTGCATGCTCCACTTGTACATACATATTGTATAAATTTAGCAAGATTTTTTTTAAATTTCTCGCTAAGGTCTCATTCTAAAATCATTTCAGTAGGGACGTATCAAAAATCGCATTGTACTTAAACGAAGTACAATGTCACAGGGACATTTTCGCTTGCCATTTTCGACCACTCCCAGCGCCAACCAATAATAAACTTCTTCCTGCTAATATTATTTACTAAATATATCATTTGTTCATTTTTGGAATCAAACTTTATCAAGAATGCATTAAATTGTACGCCAAAGTCAAAGACAACTTATATAAATTTGTGATTGTTTAAGAATCTCAAAAAAATGAGAGGTTATCTGGGAGGGGTCGAAAACCTCGTCGTTGTGTGGTATTGGCTCTCAATGCGGCTTAAGCTTCCTTATGGAGTTAAATCGTCCAGGGCTCCTTTAGTCGTCCAGGTGTACTAAAGTAAAGCATCAATTAAAACCATGTTACACAACGCATACAAAAATCACTTTCGCGGTGCAATCCTCGCAACGCAGAGGTGCACCTTGTTCACGACATATTTCATCACTTGGAATCCCAAACTGAGACGGGCCATTGCTCTAGACAAACAATGGAACATGCGGGCTTTTCAAGGTCTCAATATCTTTGCTGCATCCATCATACTTCCCTCCTTGTTGGTGAGATGCGTCCAGTTGTCCAATTCTCCGAAGGGGGTTGACGACCAACTCACCCTTTATTTAACCTACTTGATCTGCTTCATACTACCGTCGTACTTGTGCTACGCGAGAATCCTCATGAGACCGGAGGGATCGAGGAAATTAATCCACGGCTTTGAAATCATGTTCACCTTGGAGGAAACACTGGAAGGTTGGTTAACTTTTGTTTGTTATTGACAAAATTAGTATTGACATAAAGTATAATTAATTAAGTAACAAATTGTATTTTGTATGTTGTTCAAAATTAGGAGATTGCGTGTTAAGGTTCGGACACTAAATTTTTGCGCCAACGTAAATTTGCCTTTAGCGAAGATGCTAACATTAGGTTTACAAGGTTATTGTGCGAATTAACGGAAGCGTATGTAAATATTCCATCGAAATTTGAAGTGTCTCATTCCATACCTAGAACCTTATTCTACACAAAAATTCGCTACTTACTGTACAGAATAAGAGATACCATTAATGAATTAAAGTTAACGTAAAGTCGGCATCGTCCAAACTTGGCGGGAATAACAGTTTAATGTTAACTTTAAAAGTTTAGGTTACTCGATAAACTCACAATCCCGGTAGTATAGCTCGATTTAAGCAAGGATTAGTTTATTTCTTAATCTTCGAACAATGTGTATGTGAAATTTTTCATACCAGTTCAAAACTCATTACTACATTTTTGCATCCTTACAATAGAAATGCTCCCCGACAACGACCACAAATACGGCGCCAAGGTGGACTCCGCCATTGAGAAAATGTCTCGAGTCTCCCGCTTGCTCCGCTTCCTGCTAGAAGGCGTGTCTCCTCTTCTGGTCACCATATTCGCAATATCTCCATGGAACCCGCTCTACACCCTGTTACGCGCCATCCACAACTTCGAACTGTACGGACCCCTGGTGTCATTATCAATTCAGGCAGTTCTCGGCTTCTTTTCCGCTACCGGTGTAACCCTCATGTTCGAAACGTTGGATCTCTGTCTTATCCTGATGGGCTACAGCATTGGGTGTCTCTACTTGTGGACCATGTTCCTAGTTCCGATCACTGGGAAGGATCTATCCTACAAACTTCGACCAGGATTAGGGTTCTTTTCCGCCGTAAAAATGTACAAGATGCTCCACGTCATGACGATCCTTGAAGAAGAACTGTTTCGCGAATTCGTAAATCCGTGTCTGCATCACTTCACGGCGGTTAGTCTATCGACCTACGGATTGTTCACGTTGTTGGCGCAAATATCGAATGATGCCGAAACGTAGGTATTTCTAATCGCGATTTGCATCGGGATTATCGTATTCTCGTTAGTTGTAGAGTTTGCGGTGATCTGTCTCGTTGCCAGAGCGGGGATGCTGTCAAAATTGTTCATTTCAAGGATGACGAGAATGCATGGGACGGACAAGTATAGAAGGGCCGTGTTGAGGTCGATGTTGCCGAATGCGATTAGTTTAGAATTTTTGAAAAGTGTGGATACAATGAAGAACGGGTTGGAGATGAACTACTTTTTGAATTATATCGATAGAGTGAGTAATATCACGGCAACGTTGCTTGTTGCTGGGTAAACGGACTAATTTATGTACAAGTTAGAGGAAAGTTGTAGCTGATTTACATAAATTCCTTAGTCTTTAGGCTTTCTAGCATCTTGACCCATCAAGCATTTCGTGAAGCTAAACCCAAAGTTAAAAATACAAGGGCTAATTTTGCAATAACAAGTACGAAAAAGTTGGCCAAAATATTCACTGCAGAAAATTTTTGGAAGTGCAGAAAAGTGCAAATAATGGCATAATAGAATAATACTTGTGGTATTTGTTAAATAAAACATTAATTACCACACTGTTTTTAATATACTAAAAACAGTCGCGTTCTCTGCAAAAAAGTAACTGGCCACACGTGACCATAAAACAGTCTGTCTGTCCAGGTGCAGTACAATTAAGGGTGGAGCCTGTCCATTTCAAGAAGATTTAAATGTCGTATACATAAATAAATACCGTAAAAACTCAAATAGTAGCCGTTGCTCTAATAGTAGCCGTGCTCAAATAGTAGCCGTGTCTATTTTCAAAATTTTGTAAATAGTAGCCCTGCTCAAATAGTAGCCCTGCTCAAATAGTAGCCTTATTCGAATATACGCGTCTCAATTTCCATACAACCACACTTCTTGCCAATTCATTGAGATAATTAAATTATAGTTCAATATAACCGCAGTTACGCCCTATCGAAGCTATCAGTCGATGACAAAACACGAATTTAGCTCATCGAAGGAATTGTTGAAGAGCAGGTCGAGCAGAATAATATTCTAATGGACTACGACTTTAAGGGCAAAATTGGTGTTGTTATTAAAATTTAATTTGAGCTTGGTTCAGGAAATAAAAATCAAAGTCGTATGCAAATAGTAGCCGTGTCAATCTTCATAATTTAGAAATAGAGACCTTGCCCAAATAGTAGCCTTGCTCAAATAGTAGCCGGGTCCCAGCCACCAATTTTATAAATAGTAGCCCCCGGCTACTATTTGAGTTTTTACGGTATGTCATATTTGACCGTCCAATTTGCCACAATTCTAATGTAACCGGTATTTATGACAAATTTGAAAATAAATGTCCGAAATATGGCAAATTTCAACATTGCAAATTTAAATGGTTCAATTTGTCCAATATTTAAATATCAAACAAATTGGACATTTATGATAATTTGAACTTCTTCAATTTCTTGACACGTATTACCCGTCGAGTATAATAATAACCTGATGTATGTATGTATAATCAATCACATGAATAATGATCCAGGACAGAGTAGCTTTGAATTTCACCAGTGTTGCCACACGAGTTTATACCAAACATCGCCTAAACAAACTTTATAATTACTCACAATCTAATTATTCAACCAAATAAATGATCAAACTATATTTAGCATCAATGCTGCCCTAGAACGGCTATTCGTACACTCGGAACTATTATTCATATTTTTTAGTTTCATATCTTCACATCTACATATGTTCTACCAGTTCTGATGTAAATGCAATTTCTCACGAGTACATATATATACATATACATATATTATAATATCTGTGCATTGACTACGAAGCTGAACATTAACATACTTATATACGTATGTACATACATATGTCCGTATACACATGCCAACGTTAATACTCCTCGACTGTGTATTAATCAATAATGTAATGTAGTGTGTAATAAGAAAACAATTACTACGGTGCTGAGTAAATATGCACAGTGGTAATATGGGTAGGTTACCATGGTACACATTTTGAATACAAAATATATATATTTATATTTATAAATTTAGATTAAATTATTTCTGTTTATTATAAGTTTTAAAGTATTATAAGTATTAATCGCCATAATTCCCAAAACTGCACTTCATTAATTTCAAGAAACAAATATGAACGTACTTCGCCATTTGTGATTTGACCCCAATTTATGACCGGATAAAGGTCTCTGTTTGTGCCGAAAGCTTGTCAATAAACTCAATTTCAAAAATATGTCCTCCAACGCCGATCTATCCAATTATATACCGTGTATTATACTTACACTAGTGTAGAAGCCCGTCATTCGACGTGCAAAATAGGACCGTCGATAAGCCCGTTACCCCAACATTAGTGAAGTTAGCCTCTCCTGTTCTCTCTGCAGAGTGAAGAGAGAAAAGGAGAGGCTAACTTCTCAACTAAGCCACCGACCCAGCAGCGACACACTTGCCTGCTTTATATAAATAGTTTAGATTTATATGCAAATATATATATTTATAATCGCTGGTTTTATGCATGGCTCTACTTGGTTACCGCATTACATCCGTGTGCACATTTGCATACTTCAGTTTTAAGATTACTTAAATAAGACCAATTTTCATCAACGTTATGTACATAACTCAACGCACCTTAATCCTCTCATGACTCATGGGCGTGAATAATGTATGTAAATAAAAAATTTCCAGGCAATGAACCAATTTATTCGTTCAATTCCATGCAAAAATGCAACTTGACCATGAACGAGAGTTCAAGTTCATTTTACATACTCCAATATCTCAATACATATGTAACCGCATTTCAATACAGGACTGGACACCACCTTTCATTCCAACATGCAGATAATTTTAGTTGCTACATATGTATGTATTTACGTATTTATGTGTTTAATAAATTACAAAAAGTCGTATTCGTCCCGTATCAAACAGCTCATACATACATAAGTATTTGCACTGATAAATGCATACAGTCATTATCAATTGATAATCATTTTACTTTGCACTATGGCCTCACAAACAACACATGACGATAGCTTGGTCCAGCTCAAGTTAAAAATTAGAGGTAAGTTTCCAAAGTTTCAAATTCCAAGCATAGGTTTGCATTTTATAATTACTCTTACTATTACAACATATAATTATTTTATAATTAATTACATTTATGTACTTGTATGTGCAATCATATTTTTTATTTAGAACATGACAAACTTGCCCCATTCTATGAAATTTTTGACGACCCGTTCCTTCTCGGGTTTCTGCAGGGGAAAAAGTTTCAAGTTGAGGTGGCCCTGAGTTGTGTAAGTTTGGGGGTATTCACGGCAAACACTTTCACTGAAAAAATTGCGACTGTATGTTGCACAAATTTTACAAAAATAATCAGCTGTCGTCATAAAGTTTACGTCACTCACGCAGAAACGACTGGTGGTACACTCTTAAAAATTCGATATGTTACAACGCAGATATTGATATACGGTATTACGTATCACTACCAGTTCTATGGAGTCACCGCTCGGTAGTAGTTTAACACTGGACCTCTAAGAGAGTACCCACCAATGAAAAGTGACATACAATTGACTGAAATTATATTTAGAAAATTTGTAAAGTTATTTAGGAGAATTTATGTGTGAGTCACACAGTGTGACATGAATACCTCTAATATTTCGTACATTTCAAATTATTTCTAACAAATATCAAGGCTCAAATAATCATATAATTTGTAATAGCTGGAAAAATACATGAACATGCGGACCGTCAAGTATAGGAAGGAAATGAGCCCTTTCCGACCCTCCAAGGTGGCCTTATTGGATACCGATTTCGCCCAAATGCTCCGCCACAAAGATCCGGAAGGGAGATATATTGCTGTCCTAAATACATGTAAGAAAACAAAACTTTCAGAAAATTAACCATTATTTTTTATTCATTTGATTACATTAATTACTACAGACTATTGCTACTATTACTACTGTTATCTGTAACAATTTGCATCAACTAATAAAGGAGGTCGCTTAACATACGCTCACAGGTTTTGACGAAAGTAGTGTCAATCAATGGATCACAAATTTAATTTGTTTGAACTCTGGAAACAGAACTATCTGCCAATTTGCAGGTTTGGCGGAGATATTTGCATCCGTAGTGGGGAAAAGTGCGCAGTATATTAGGAAAGTGTAAATTTTTCCCACGTTAGCGTCCATTTTCTCCGGTTTTAATATTTTTTACTTGTACCTTTGATAATGGTGACATTATTTTTAAGAGTGTACTCTAAACTATTCACATATTTTTCAATAATTTTTGAAACAGGCACTTGGACTCCAGCCTTTTGCTCTGTGGCGGAGTCCATCGCGGTCACGCACTTCGCTCTGGATGAGGGTTTACGCCGCTATTTCTACCTCAGTCCGGACGGCGTGGTCTTAATTCTTAATTTTAAAGACTTCCCCCTATCCAAGATGATGGCCTCGTTTCCATATCTGATGCAAACGGTCGACCTTGCTTTCGTAAGTAGACATAAATTATTTCGTCACATAATTTATGGATGGCCTCATAAAAATATAATTAATACGTGCTTTTTTTATCAGAAATGTCTCCCCGCGAGTCCAAAAGCGCTACATTTTGTGAACGAAAACGCACTTATTCACACCTTTTTACCCCTTTTTAGGAAGGTTATAAGCAACAAGATAGGAGGAAGGGTATGCAAATCATGTTATTCAAATTCTTCTTTATGACTTGACAGCGTGTGTATGTATCAGTAGGGCAGTTTTTAGATTCTTGTTCTAACTTGACACTGCCAACAGCATTTATAAAGTAGTTCCGAATTTGACTAGGTGCATCTTCACTCGACCCGACTGGAGTCGCTGCATGAGCACGTGCCACCAAATATTCTCCCAAAATCACTAGGTGGCACTCTGACCGATGCGGAGGCCTATGATAGCCACCTAATTGCTGGAGCGAAAGCGAATGATGCCTTTTATGATGGAATTTGGCCGTAGGTGATGCATACTTATATATACTTTAGTAATGAAGCGTTCCTTCATGGGATAATTTAATCTGTATGTAATTTGCAGATCACATGATAAAGGAAACGGTGTAGGGAAACATTGAATACTGTAGTTTCCAAATTACGAATATTACCCATAAGTATACAGGGTCAACTATTTCTATGCGTAGGTATGAATTACTTAACCTTTACTCGAAGTACAATTGTCCGATTACTTATATGCCACTAAAGGATTAAATAAATGAGGAAACAATTTTTAGCACCAAATAATCGATTTAATTATGTATCATCCAGTTTTATATATCATCCATTTTTTTAATTTGTCCTGTAATGAATAAATTTCATTATTTACATAATTTTCTGCAAAAAACAACGTAACCATGATCGAGTTGTTCCAAGTTGAGGTACATTTTACATACTCCAGTAAATACAGAACCACATCTTAACGTATGTAGGACTGACATTACATATCATTCCAGCATGCAAATTATTTTAGTTGCTACCTGCCTAATAAGTTTTACATAGTTCCAAAAAGTTGTATTTATTCGTCCTGTATCCTACAGTTGATAAGTATTTGTACTCATAAAGCCGTTATCAATTAATAACCAGTTGACTGTGCACGATGGCCTCGCAAACAACACATGACGATATTAAGGTCCAACTCAAGTTAAAAATTAGAGGTAACGAGCTACACCCCTTCCCGGCGCTTTGCGCCTCGCTATGATCGCGTACTGATTGCAACCACACCCCTTTTCCGGCAATGGGTGTGGTCGAAATATCTGCGCAAATTTATGACACCATATGGTGCACAAAGAATAGAAGAATATTGTTCCGTTCTAACTTTACATTGATTCTTATGATTTCTGTTTGACCACTCCCCCCCCTGACCAATGGTGATGTGGTTCCCAATTATTATTGTATTTCTTATAGTAGATCGAAAGAAAGCCTATTGGAAAATTATATTTTAAGTTATTCAGCAAATTTGATTTTAAGTTTTTACTGTAATTTTAATTTAAGCTTTTTACAATTCTAGTTTCAGCTTTTCTACAACTTTATTCTAAACCTTTTTTTGCAATTTTATTTAGGAATTTTTGCAATTTTACTTTAAGTTTTTTTACAACTTAATTTTCAGTTTTGTTGGAATTTTATTTTCAGTTTTTAAAATTTTATTTCATACCATTTTTGCAATTTAATTTTCTCCTTTTCTGCAATTTAATTTTCATTTTTTCCGGAATTTAATTTTATGCTTTATTTTCAGTTTTTTTGCAATTTCGTTTTATACTTTTTTCGGAATTTTATTTTCAGTTTTTTGGAATTTTATTTTTAGCTTATTTGCAATTACATTTTATACTTCTGAATTTAATTTTCAGTTTTTTCGGAATTTAATTTTAGCCTTTTTTGAAATTGTAAGTTAAGCGTTTTTGCAATTTTATTTTAAGCTTTATGCAACTTTTTTCGCAGTTTATTTTTCAGTTTTCTCGGAATTTTATTTTTAGATTATTTGCAAATTCATTTTATAGTTTTTTCGCAATTTAATTTTCAGTTTTTTTGGAATTTAATTTCGGGCTTTTTTGAAATTTTTTTTTCAGATTTTTTGCAATTTCATTTTATTCATTTTTTCGGAATTTAACTTTCAGTTTTTTCGGAATTTTATTTTAAGCTTTTTTTGCAATTTTAGTTTATACTTTTTTTGCAATTTAATTTTCAGTTTTGAAAGTTGGGATAGTATTTGTTGAGTAGTGTGGTCTATTTTTAACTAAAAAACTGTGCACTTGTATGTATAAGCCAGTCGCCGAACAGCATGAGTAGTACATGTATAGAAGGGAAGGGTACATACATATAGGCATGCTTGGGAATGGGCATACATATCCTACGGTGTAAAATGCATGGTTGCCATTGCCGACTGGGAGAGAGGGGAGAGCATGAATATGTTTTAAATTCATGGGAGAGAGGGAGAGAGAGCGAAAGAGAACGTGGCAACGTCGCACCCAACTTTACACGATGAGAATGAAAATAGGTAAGTAGATTGTCCTCTCAGGTTCTAAAACTAAATAGTTAAATTATGAAATATTTCACAATTAGGATTTAATTATAATCATAAGAATATTCTATTCAGCGCATGCCAAACTTTCGGTATTCTGTGACATTCTTGACGACCAATTCCTCCTTGGGTTTCTCCAAGGGAAAAAGTTTCAAATTGACTTGACCCTAAGCTGTGTAAGTTTGGGGGCATTCACGGCAAACATTTTGCCGCATAATGCTAATAAGGTGCCACATAGTTGCTGGTGTGCCACAAATTTTCCAAAAATATGTAACCAATTATCGTCATAAACTTTACGTCACTGATAAGTGACGTAGTTAGTAATCTGGTATGGTTAAGTTCATAGATGTTGATTTCACGGAATTAAGGTTACTACGTTTTGTATTAAAATCATACCTTCCGCATAAATTTTCTAGCGACATCATGTATCGACGATATGGTCAAACTTTAATACCGAGCCACTACACAATGAATATCGCTTGGTACTATTTTAATACTGGGTTTTTCAGAGTGTATGTATATACCAACGAACCTTGATATGCAATTAACGGAGATTATATTTCATAAGCACGTGCCATGCCACCTCCCACACTCTAAGAAATGGGCTTAACATATTTTTGGGTTAAAAACTAGTCAACCTTGGTCGAGGTAAATTCAATCCGTAGTGGAGTAAAATTCATAACCCTAAATCATATTGTATACAAAATAACCTCGATACAGGTAAAAGCCACCAATTTACTCGTGGGCGTATTACCGCAACCTCATATGGAGTTATGGTTATTTAGCTCGAGTAAAAAGTAGAGCGGGTATTTAGATTTCGCAAGCCAGACCACGCCGATGATTCAGTCTTTACGTAAGTATTTACGTCTCCTGCAGGACTTCGGAGAAAATATTTTGTTAATTATTTTAACTATTCAATTATTTGACATTTATCGATATGAATCAATCGGAGGTGCATAGAGTTCTCACGCAGTGTGGATTGGCCAAATATATCATTAAATTAGAAGGTAAGACAATTAAACCATTTTTACTTCAGTTATTTTGCAAATAATAATCAACGTTGGTAGTTAAATAATTGTGATTAATATTTTCTTCCAGAGCGTCATGTCACAGATGAAGATTTTCTGGAACAAGAGAGGACCTCGCAGAACTTATTACTATTATAAACTCAATTAAATAAAATATAAATTAATAATTAAAAAAGTTGATTTATTAGCATTTGGCGCATCTGGTATTGCAACCCATAAAAAAGTAACAGTGAACATAAAAAAGTGCCCGTATTAAAACTCTGCAGAGGTTCTGAGTAAAGTTTACCCGTAATAGGGCAAAACAGATTACCCCTTCTTAGGTTTATCGCCAACTCAACGTGAAGTAAAGTTGGTTACCCCTTTGCACTTCTGAGCTCGCTAACCCTGTACAGCGTCGTCGCTGTTTTTACCACACTACGAGTTGACTTTTACTCGGTATGGGCTTATTAGTTTTAAGTGTGCAGAATCGCTAGGTGGCACTTTGACCAATGTAGAGGCCTATGACAGCGACCTAATTGCAAGAGCAAAAAGGAAATATCTCGTGAAGAGGAAGATCTGATTCTTATGGAATAAAAATACTTCATTATATTTTTATTTGATTTCTTTATTTGAGTTTCACATTTGCAATAAACTCGTTTATAAAAAATTCGTGCATTTCATACATATATGATTTTGAAAGTTTATTTACTTATCCTAGAATAAAGACTACAATTAACACTAAATTATAAATATATTGTTACACGTAAGCTAGTTTTAATGAGTATCATCCTAATTATTTATTGCATGACCTTTGTGGTTACGTTTCTTTGCGAGAGTGTTTTTATTTGCTTTTTTAGCGACGGCATCTTTTCTAGATTCGGGGCATCTATATTCAGTGTATCCTCGGTCAAACCTTGAATCAACAAGCTCCGGTGCCAAGTCGTTGTCCCAAAAATATTCCATATTGATTTTCATAGTCTCCCATAGCTTATCTGTGTCATTACTGCGGGAAATTCTTTCTAGATGATATCCGACTGGTGTCCAAACAAAGAAATCGCACCACTGACGGTTTGTAACGTAAATTTGCATTATAACCTGGTAATAATACGCATGAGAACGTTTCAACCGGAGTTGTCCATCACGGTTTTCAAGGCAACTTGTTTTTGGTGAAAATGTGGGCCAGTCTTTTGGATCTTTATCACGAATAGAAGGGGGGCATTTTACTTCTAATAAACCGTCGTCATCCAGAACTCGGTCAGGACTTGCTGCGAAAATTCCGTTATTCAAATCAACAAAGAGTCCACATTTTTTAACTGATCCTGGGATCAATCCCTTTACCATCTCGTAAGCCTTTATAGCATTTTCTTCGTTATTCTTGCCATACTCCATCAACGGGATCAGACACTCTTTTCCCAAAGTGTTTATTCAGCGTGCAAGTATTGTCCGTTTTGCGGCCCAGTTTGCTAATTAAATGAGCATTTGATGCTGTTATTCGTTTTATTCTTTCAATCTGCCACCTCGAACTACCTGATTGATCTCTAGTCTGTTGTTCAATCTCTTGCTGTTGATATATATCAACTTGCAATGACTGTTTTAACAAGGCTATTGATGCCGCTAATACATCCTCTGACATATCTGGCTTGACTGGATTACACCCATAATTTTTGTCACCCCTTCCATTACTAGGCACCGGAAATACAAGTTTTCTAGCTGCCTTAGGTTTTTTAGATCGGCATCTTTCTCTGTACGAAACAGCATATCGTCTCCTCCATGGACTGGATGGAGGTTTGTTGAATAGTGTTGTATAAATTTTGGCAGGCCAGAATGAGCAGTTGTTATAAGAGAACACAGCTGCAAGCATTCTGTGTCGGTAAAGACCCTTCTGGCCAAGATTTTTTCTTTTTCCTTCCATAAACTTATTAGCAACTGACATAAAGCTCTCTGAAGCATTGCTTGTCTGGTTTTCCATCAAACTATAGCTCTCGTTGGCTATTTTCCTCAGGGCTGATTGTAAGGGTTCCCAAAAACTGCACGACATCATAGCCGTCACGCTGTCTGCTTCAACCGCTTTAGTAGAGTCATTGGGATCGCAAAAATATGATTCGCAATTGTGATGACGTCCAAAAATGTGGAACGGAATATTGAGGATATCGTGTTGTAGATTTTTCCAACAATCATTTGTTTTGTTTTGAAGATAATGCTTTACAGCCATTTTAATGGCTACTG